TTGTTGTACTTCGTTCAGTTGGGATTGCTCAAACGTACACTTATACAGCCATAAAGTTGGTTATATTGCTTCTAACCCATTTAAAATGTAATTTATTTAATAGAAATCAATACTAATAACTTATAAAGATATTTCGGTAGATATGAATAAAATTTTCTAACATAGGCAGCCAAACATACACTTATACAACCATAAAGTTGGTTATATTGCTTCTAACTCATTTAAAATGTAATTTATTTAATAGAAATCAATCCCAATAACTTATAAAGATATTTCAATAGATATCAATTAAATTAACTAACGTAGGCAACCAAACATACACATACACAACCATAAAGTTGGTTATATTGCTTCTAACTCATTTAAAATGTAATTTATTTAATAGAATTCAATCCCAATAACTTATATAACATAAATTGCCGAAATTTCGAAGACTTCTTCTTTCTAATGTTTCAACATAATTATTTACCAGAAGAATAAAATACGAAATTGCTCTTTCACTTCGCCTATACACACACTGCTTACATATTTCATTACATGTGAATACTTCAAATAAAACAATACCAGTTCCTCTTTGAAGATGTCAAAGAGTAGAAACGTTATGAGCGTGCGTTGCAATTATGAACATACAACAACGCTGAAGGAAGTGATGGTATGAATAAAACAAAATAATTTATGCATTACACAACCAAATGTATTACTTTAACGTTACATATACTCTTGCATGCATAACATACTTCTTATAATTATTGCAATACTATAAAAATTCACTTACAGTGCGTAATAAATAGTTCAAGTTGAGTTGAGAATAATGAGCGTTAAGAAACTTTTGACATTAATATATTAGAAAGAATTAAAATCAAAAATAACATTCAAGGAAGTTAAAATTACACTGTATTGAATTATTCATCAGTATTATGTAGTAACATATTACTTAAAACTATGAAATTATTCGAAATAAATGCATAGAAACTTATTTTATACTTAACACTTCTCATCAGATGTTTAACGTAGATGACGTCGAAGATGTCGACTCATAGGAACTCTCCAATTCCTTTTTTTCATCCTCGCTGGTCGAATTCATCGTCAAATCTTGAAATTCATTCCGAATCTTACTGTGCGGCGTATTCGCATCTGATTCGATGCATACGTTGCAAATCCTTGCGGGATTTTCGTCGAAATTGTCGCAGTGTAGACATCGTTGCTTGCCGCCATCTTTGTATGCATAGCGGCCATTGCATGAACGTTTCCCGTTGCCGTTTTCACGTCGTGTTGATTTTCTACCTTTTTTACGATTTTCGTTTTGATTTTCAGTGATAAGTCGATTCAAAGGTAAAAGATCGTTTTTACTGATGAGAAATGTTGTTAAATTCGACAGATCCACGAATGGTTTGTATCTGTCACTAAAGAGGAAGAAAATACGTAAATTAATGAATAATTTTAGGTTTCTGCGTTGGAAACTTCGAAGACCAGTTATTTTTGTCCTTTGACGTGTGTTTACGTTACTTATCATCTGTTTTCGTCAATTTTTGTTGTTGTTTACGTTTTCAAGAAGGAAATTTAATACTTTCCTATATAATTAATGACAATTCAACAAATTTTAACTTTAATTAATCTTTTAAAACTGCTTGAGACTGATATTAATTAAAACTTAACTCAACGCAAGGTCAAAAACCATACCCAACGTGTTCATTGACTTTTGCGTAAACATTTCAACACTTAACGTGTTATGAATAACATTAATCATGCAAACATAACTAATTATCACAAATTATAAACGAATAATTCGCCTACCTCAATGTGGACCGCAGATATTGATATCCGGAAGAACCTCCGGTGCCCACCTGCATCGAACCAATAATTCTTTGTACCAATAACACGTGATTATCTATAAAACCACAAATTAATAATAATCGCTACCAAAATGAAGATTTATAGTACTTACAGCGCCATCTACTGAGCATAGAATCAATATCCACTAGCAGAGTTAAAATCTGATGCGACGCACCAAACATGGCGTCATCCTGATAGAGATTAATGATAATCGCGGCGTGTAAAGCTTTAAAAGAGAGTTTTCTTTCACCGCGTTTAACCAATGCCTCGTGAGTTATTAAATCAAATACAGTTTCGAACTGCTCCCGGGTTTTCTTTAACGCTGCGTCGTTTTTATCGTCCTTTGACAGTGTCTCTAAATTTTCTTCTTCAATAATTATTTGGTTAACCGCGTCTTTTAAAACTGTTGTTTCAACAACTTGTTTGTAATGTTTCCACAGAACCTCTATATGTGGCATGTTTTCCAGCCATTTTTCAATTATTTGCAATAAAGATGGCGTCGACAATGATTTTTCAATTTCCGCAAGCGCATTCTGTAATTAAAAAAAATTTTAAACATATTTTAAGATAGGCAACCAATTATACACCAATAAATTGTATTGCATTTTATATCTACCTGATTCTTTTTGAAAACTTTAAGATAGTTTTGATTAAATTTAACACTGCGATTTTCTTGTCTCACACCGAGTTTATTCTCAATCAAACGGAATTGCATACTCTGGAAACCGGAAGCCGTGTCGAGGTGTTGCCTAAAGTCGTTGAAATCCATCGGCGTCATTGTTTCCAAAATCAAGACTTGATCCACCAATAACTTTAAATTATATTTAATAAAACACTCAGTATATTTAAGATATAAAAAATCGTAATAACATTGAAGCAAATGTCAAAGTTAACGTTCCAGATTGTTAAAAAGCAATAACGCGAGTTATTTACCTTTAAAATCATGACGATTCGGTTCAGTCGTTTGATGACTTCGGAAAAGTTCATAGTTTCCTTGGAAAACTCATCGCGCACCAAATCCAACTCGTACAGGATTTCTTTGAACCATAATTCATACGCTGAAATCAAAAATTATATAAAATGCAATAAATTTTTTCTACAAATTTAATTTCGATTACTTTGATGAATAATAATGAATAAATGTTCATCATAAGCGGGATGTTTTCCATTTTCGTTGCCACTGAAAGCATTCTCTGCGCGTTGAGCACTTTATCCAACATCAAATATTCACCGTACAAGAGTTTTCCTTCAGATGGAATCCTTAAAATGTCAAAATTAATCCAGTTTTATGCAGAAAGTGATTTTTAATAGAGAAACTTACGAAGACTTCTCATTGAATGGACAAGACATTTTGTACGCTGAGGTTTTTTTCTTGTTTGTTTTAGTCTCGACGGCTTTAGAAAGGTTCTGTCATTCGATAACCAATCAATGGTCCTAATAGCTCGCGACTGCTCGAAAACTTATCAGAGCGCGCACAACTCCTGCGCGATTTTTCTAAGGCCTCGCCGATTCGGTATTCATTACATGCACATTACATTCTTACACACGTGGCACTCGCGTCGGCGGTAACATTTTTTTATACCGCCACTTGCAATAAAAACCGATAACGGAAGTCTTCAATCAGCACATTATAAGCGAATCGATATTTGTTTATATTACATTTTTCCAAAATTCAAATTTTATTTTATTTTATTGCTTTTTTACAAGTAATAACAAACACTGTTATATTTTATTTAGTTTTTCGTTTATTTTTACTTATATGCTTGTTTTTGTAAGGATAATATTCCTGTAGATGCGGTGTAGGTTTAATTTCGTTTCTTGTAGCGGATATCAACACTGCAAGCAGCTGTCGATATGAACACAGAAAAACACCAAACTTACTTTGAATATATGACTATATTGAAAATAATCTGCTTATGCGTTGTTTCTTGTTTCGTTTCACACGCATAATATGCGTTTAATTGGTGTTTTGTGAATTTTATGCGTTTTTACGTGTTTTAACAGTTTTACTGGCATCAACAGAGTGTCGCCAACTTCAATATTTATCAAAACAACCTCGACAAATAGTAAATTATGTTTATTATAACTTGTTGACGAGGTTTATTAGTGTATTAATTTATTACAATGAAAATTAGACCATAAAGTTTTCCATTCAATGAAAAATTGAAGTTTTTCAAGAAAATAAACGATTCTCAAATGTTTTCTTGCTAATATTGTATCGTAATTGGTTATGAATTGATTGATGCAAGTTTATCTTAATATTTTCAAGTTCATAAACACTCTCTCAATATTGATAAGATAAAGCAATACAAATATACTTCTGAAGCTTTGAATTTTAAGCCACTCTCTCAGGCTACTAAACGGTTTCTTTGTTATCACAATAACCGAGTCTAAATGCTTGTCATCTCGTCGTTTATTTATTGAATTACATGTAATACGATTAGTAGTTCGTCGGTGGTTGAACCGACAAAGTGAATACAGCTGTTTCAAGATGAAACAAGTTTGGATTTTGATTTTATTTAGTTTATTGGGTGTTTTGTGTCCTTTAGTTTGTGGTGATGTGAAATTAAAATCTAAAAATGATATTGCTCTTGAATTTTCACAACAAAGTGCTGTAGAAGGACTGATTTCACGTTTACTGCCTGAATACGTCGATAATTTTGCAATCGAAGTGAATTTTTCAATGAAAAGTGACAATAAAGATGTTTTTATTGTAAGTATTCAGAAGATTTTAGTTTTTAATTTGATATTATTTTTGGGGTTGTTCTATTATTAGCTTGAAAAAGTGCTGCCTGAAAATTTGATTCATATCAAAGCCTCCTCGGGGGTGGCAGCTGCAGCTGGCCTTCATCATTATCTAAAATATTTCTGCAATGCACACGTTTCATGGGATTATAATCAGCTCAACATGACAAAGTGTCAAGCGAGTGAAATACGAACTAATCGAGTTCAATGACAGGTATGTTGAACTTTATCGCCAATAAAACTCAACAGTTTATAATTCTTATCAATAATACTTCAAATTACTTAAAATATATGTTCACATTTCAACGAATCATTTGACATTATCCTTGTCGTTGTTATTAACTATTTAGATATCGATATTATCAAAATGCGTGCACGCCAAGCTACAGTTTCGTATGATTGGAAGAAGTGGGAGCAGCACATCGATTGGATGGCGCTGCAAGGATTCAATCTGGTACCTGCCCAAAACGGGCAGGAGGAAATATGGCGGCGGGTGTACAGCAAATTGGGTTTAACCCGCGAAGAAATCAATGAACACATCGCAGGACCTGCATTTCTAGCCTGGTAACTCAAGTTTAACATAGGCAACCAAATATACATAATAATAAATAAATTTAAAATTATTTAAGGAATAGAATGGGTAATTTGCGTGGATGGGGTGGTCCTTTGAGTATGTCTTGGCATGCCCAACAAGTTGAATTAAATCATCGTATTATTAAACGTATGAGGGAGTTTGGAATGACAACGATTTTACCTGCCTTTGCTGGACAAGTACCAAGAGCATTCAAAAGGTTTCAAAAATTCATTTTTAAATAATTTATATATAAATTAATTTATGTTTTTCTAATAGATTATATCCCAATGCAACTTATTTTGATTTGCCAGGTTGGAATGGTTTCAACGATACTTATTTGTTCACTTGTTGAACCGTAGAAGATTTATTTCAGAAATTGGGTTTTATTTTTAACTGAAGTAAGTTAAAAGTTGTATTAACATTTCTGTAAACAAAATCAATATTTTACAGTCAACTAAAGAATTTGGCACTGATCATATTTATAATTGTGATACTTTCAATGAAATGACTCCATTCACCACTGATTTGGATAAATTACGTCAAATCGGCGAAGCAATTTATTCTTCGATGACTTCAGTCGATCCTGATGCGATTTGGTAAGAAAACTGTAATTAAATCTGCATTGTTATTGTTGTTTTTGTTTAAATTAGTGTTTGTAATACATTTGTGGTGAAGGTTAATGCAGGGTTGTACATATGAATTACTGTGGACAAAACGCGCGCATGAAAGCTTTGCTTACTTCTGTACCAAATTGTAGTAACATTTTAATTTCCGACAGGTTTTCTACAAGGCTGGTTATTTTATTACGAGAGTGATTACTGGATCAACGAAAGGGTTGAAAGTTTCATTACTAGTGTACCTTTGGTAATAATATCATTTCATACATTATCATAGACAAATTCATAGAAAACTATAAAATAGTTTTAATATTTATAAATTTTAGGGAAAAATGATTATTCTGGATTTTGAAAATCCGAGCAAAATCTAATATGAACGATTGGATAGTGTACAGTAAGCCTTATATCTAGTTGCATATTTGCACAACTTTGGAGGAACATTGGGAATGTTTGGATCGGCTGATATCATTAATAATGTAAATAATAACATAAATAAATATTGTTTTATCATATAAATTGAATTTACGTGTTTTTAGAGAGTTTTTGAAGCAAGAAACGCCAAAAATTCAACACTTATTGGAACAGGTATTTACCCAGAAGGAATTGATCAAAATTACGTCGTTTATGATCTTATGGTTGAAATGTCTTATCGTAAGGATGCAGCTAATCTCTCTGAGTGGATTAAAAATTATTCAATCAGAAGATATGGATTTGAAAATGAAAATATTTCAAAAGCTTGGGATATATTACTTGTGAGTTAAATTTTTATATGAAACTTTGATTAATTCTGTTTAAAAATATTGATTTCGTAATTTTTTATAGAATACGGTATACAGTTTTAATACCTCTGAAATGATGCGTGGGAAATATGTTTATAATCGATCTCCACGAACTAAAATCATCCCCTGGACATGGTACGACCATGAAGAATTTAACAAAGCGCATCATTTGTTCTTCAATTCGTTATCGGATGTATTCTCAAGCGAAAATTGTTTGCATGACTACGTGGACCTTACACGACAAGTGGGACAGAATTTACTAGATGACATCTATCAAGAGTTGATTCTTGCTTTTCAAGTTAAAAATCTGGAGAATTTCCTGTAAGTTTTTTTAAATGCATCTACTCTTATTATTAATGCGATAGTATTGTAAATGTTTGTATTTGGTATGTTGCAGTTTACTAAAAGAACAATTTTTGCAACTGTTTGATGTGATGGAGACAATTTATCAATTGATAAAATGGCGACTTTCTCAATGGCTGACAGCAGCAAAACAATGGGCTACTTGTGATGAGGGAAGCCATTTTGTTGGAGTATAATGCCAGAATCAGATCACATTGTAGGGACCACGTGGAGAAAATTATGGATTATGCGAATAAGCAATGGTCAGGTGAGTTAAAACAAAATTGCTATTTTGAACTGCAAATGTTACAAACTTTCATAACGAATCTTCAAATTGGGAATTAAAACAATTGCCTTACGGATAGGGTGACATTTTAAGGGGCACAGAGCTGTTGTTCGATGCAACAACAATCCTTGTGTCCTAAGAGAAAAACAAACTTCTCTTCAGTTTTTGGCAACAATTGTTTCAATTCTTAATTTCTTCCCCTTGTCGAGTGTCAAGCCTAGTGGCCCTATATCAATTAATTCAAGCTTCCCCATAACAAATCGTTTACTCTCAATACACACAAGACCGAAATATTAATAAATGTTTTTTAAAATAGCATTTCTCCTGTTTGGGATTGTAAAGATTTATCTTCAAGTGAGATAGCGAATTATTCCTCAGTCATATGGAGGATTCCCTTCGACACGGCACAAAATTCAACGAGAAGGGCGCTCGTGAAGACACGTCTTTGAAAAGTTGAAGAACCCTTCACATTCTCACGCAAACAATACCCTGAAGAACCGACAAATAAAAGTATTACATTCATACACACGACATTCAGCGAAGACAATGGAATCAACAAAACAAAGATTAAACTTAATATCAATTACTTTAAAGACTTGAACAAATTAAAAACAAACGAAAATTTAATCGACGCAATCGTGCATTTCTATAAGTATATATTTAATGTTTCGTAGGATTTCAATGTTGTATTTGAATCAACGCATTTTGAACTAAATTATTTACTAAAAATGAAAATTTTATTCATTAATAAAAACGTTTTCTTTCTTTAGTATACGACTGCAAAAATGTGATTGATGATAGTTAGTCCTATGATTCGAAAACAATGCAACAAAACAAGGATGAATCGCAACTGCGGTCGCGCCTGTTTCGTATCAAATAAAAAGTCGACAAAAATGCGATTTGTGGCATTACAATAAAAAAAAAATAATAAAATTAAAATAAAACAACACACGGTCGCGATGCGTTCCATCCCATACATCTCGCGCGCGTCTTCATGTGTACAAACTTAAAAATACTACTAATCATACAGCGCTAGAATGATATCAGTTTCGTAATCGTACAATGTATATTAATGCGTTGTTGTTCGCGGAGGGGTGTGCGGATCGATAAGTGTCTTTTCGTTTGTGTGCTCGTACAAAATACACAAATCATAACATCGAAACAAAAATAGAAACAATTCGAGTCAGACTACGTTACGACAGCAAATTACTGGATACACAAACATCGTTCTGGAAATTTTTTATCAATTATCAAATTCATTCATTACATTTATATCATTAGTTTGTCGAAAATTCAATTTAATCAATAAAAAATGAGGAGAAAACAACTAATTCGAACAATAAATTATTTTGTTATCATGGGAGAAATCACACAACGGTCCGTGGAATGAGATGCGTTTTGATTCCTGTGTTCGCGCACATCGATTCGGGCCGCACGCCTACAGATTCGGATGCATAAATAAGTGTTGACGACGAATCTATAGGGATGCGTGCCGCACAATCGAAACTTCGGTATACAGAGTTCTCTCGCCCCCAGGTACAATCGCACGCCCCGCGCGCGCTCGATGTGGTGACGGGGGGCGGCGGCCGCGGGCCCGCATTATTACAATAATTAAGTAGTAAATTTTGTTTTTAACTTGCTTAGCTTATTGCCTTTTCCGTAAATATATATAGTATATAAATAATCTGCATATATACCTATATATCATGTGTTCATCTGTAAACCGACAGACACAACGTCATTGTCATACTAGGCGATTCTAGTAGTCGCGAACGTTATTCGTTTGTTTGCGTTGAAACGGAATTGTCAATGGTGCTATCTGTGTGTTTGTTTGAGAGTGTGTGTGTGGATGATGTGGTGGCTGCGTGATCTCCTTTTGCTGGTTAGCCAATCGAATCCGGCTCCTCCATATCTCGTGCGTGTCGGTTTTGCTAATGGCGGCGGCGGCGTCACTTGAGGTCCGGTGTGTCGCGCCGTACCAATGAAAACAGAAGGGGCTCGTGAGGGTTACAATCAATCGTCGAAAAGTAGTTACTTCATATCCTGACGCATAGCGTACTGACGCTCGGCCACAAAACTTAATCTAATTTATACCTATTTTTACATAAAATGGACATTTTTACAAACCAAAGAGATACGTAGTAGTAGTTAATAAGTTAGAGTCCGCGCGGTTAACTATGATAACGCACGAGCCGATGCGTGGAGTGTCGTCTCTCGTGGGGGCGGGCGATGGCGCCCACCGCCCCGCTGCGAGCGGCGACTAGTTGCGCGCATTGGCTCGTATTACACTTTAGATAGTTCCACACTTTCACCACCTTTTGTTTTGTTTGCTTGCCTTGTTATTTGTTGGATGTCTCAATTAATATTTGTTGTTACAATTATTTATAATATTTCTTGGCTGTTTCTTGCTTTGTGTTGTTAATTATTTGTCGTCTAGTCTTATTCTATTATGCGTCGTCGTCGTCTTCGTCCACGCCTTCTTCGCCCTCAACATCTTCGTCATCATCTTCTATAAATACACACAACAAAAATTAGTATTTTCTCAATTTCTCAACGAATATTATTCAATTACCTTCACCGTCGAGTTCATCATCATCACCTTCGGGGATGTCTTCTTCCTCCACATCTTCTTCACAGTCTGCGCCCTCCTCTTCCTCCTCCACTAATTCTTCGTGGTCGGAGCCAGCGCCGTTTTCTTCTTTCCTCTGCTTTTTCACATCATCGGTTTTGTCCTGCAAATACAAATCAAATACGACTTGTTATTTCCTTGTTTAATTCATAACAATTACAACGCGCGACTTGCGTGAAGGAAGCGGCGCGCATTTCCGGTACACAGGTGCCTGCGTTCTCAACGCATCGCGTGCGTGCGTTCTCTGCTGCGCAGGACGCAGGTTGATTGTCGAAGCGACATAATATAACGCGACGACTTGCATCCAACAGAAAGAGAACTTCGACTTCTCTACAGCCGTCTTCGTTCGCGCCATAGCTAAAGTTGCCGAAGTACCAATACCGAAAGCTCAAATAATGCTGCTTCGGGTGAAGTACAGTTTACAACGCAGGCATATTTGCGGCAACTCGCAGCTGTCCCGAAGCGTATCGCAAGCGGCATTAGTACACAGCGCGCACCCCATACCCTACACCCCTTCGCGGGCGAAAGAGAAGCGCGGGAAGCTACCGCGCGAACAAAGGACCCGGGAGGACCGTGCGCCACCCGTCGTAAATCTACCCCATACCCTCACACCCTCCAACGCGCGCGTCGCGCACCACAGTACTGCGGATTAACCAATTCGCGCAATGCATTCATCAAAGTAACTAGCTATAAAGCTACATAGCTCATTCTTTCAGGTAAGCAAGTTCGCACGATTTGCTTGTTCGTCGACTTGCAACAACTTCTAGGTATTTCATTAACGCAAACAAACGCCGATTCAAGTAAGAGTGAAACCACGCTACCGTGCGCGGCGTATTTGTATACAAAAACCAATTGATATTGGAGAAGCGAGACCGCACTGCCTAGTAGCGTGCGTCGCCTCGCACGCCGGACTTGTCGGTCGTCGGCTATGACGGTTGCAATAAATGAATAGCCGCCCGCCGATGCCCGACTTCTGCTGCTCTGCGCGCTCTCGTCAAGCCGGCTCTCGGATAGACAAGCACCACCGCGGCGTGCCTAGGCGAGACGCGTCGCGAGTGCGAGCGAATCAGCGCGCATCGAAGCGCACAGGTTCAAGTGTGCCGGGTGGCGGAGCGACGTGCGTCTCCCCAAGCTTTTTCCGCCGTGACACTCGCCCGCCCGCCGCTCACGCTTTTTGGCGCCCATTTCGAACGCGAGCACACAAGATAAAAATGATAACTCGATCGAATCAGGTCAACAGCGGCTGTAAGTTATTACACCAGTTAGACACGAAATTCGTTGAGATTTCGGCCGCACGGGGAAGGTCAAAATGAAGTACATTATGATAATGATAGCGATTTGGAGGTGTGTTTGGTAGGGCCACAAAATGCTATTGATTTCGCCATCTTGGACCCACGCTAGCCTCCCGTCCAGGTCGCGCCGCGCATCACAATGGCGGGACGGCGGCGTGTACGCGCGCGCCATGCCGCTTTGTGCCGGATTGCGTACGACCACGACGCCGTCGACGTTGTTTACATCGGCGATTTCGCCAAACGAATCCAAAACAAAATAGCAACGGTGAGCGTGCAGATTTGATGTTTGTTGCGTCGAAACAAACGCCGATCGCCGCTTGTAAACACGTACCTCACATGGCCGCGTCCGAGCGGCGCGCACATGCACACGCTGCGACTCTTGGTGTTACAGGCAGCACTCTGAAAAGTACGCGTCTCCGCTCACCGAACATGCATTATGCACGTGTACCGTTATCCCGCCATGCTACCGCCGGCGTCTATCTGCCGAAAAACCCACGGCGTTTCCGAAATTCAAGCCATACGCGTACCAGCACTTTCACTATGAGAGCACGAAAACGCACAGCGGTGCGACGTCTTGATTTGATGCCGAGTCTAGTCTTGTCGTATCTTTGTACTTTCGTATTTTTAACTTTATACTACTACAAGGCACGCGCACACTTTTCCAGCCATTGCGTTCGCGCGGAAAAGCGAGAAAAAGTCGAGCGCGGTAGAGTTTTCGAATATAGAAAAATATGTACTCACTTCTGCCGCCCGCTTGGTGCCCTTAATTTCGCACTTCGCATCCTTTTCGCTGTCGATGCTGTCGACCACAACTTCGTTATTTTCCTTGGTACTCATTTTGTTTATTATTTATTGAATGTACGTCGAGATTTATCGCGTCTAATGAAGTGACGTGCACTGATGCTGAACACACTACTGACCGGCGAAATGCAAGCCAAGTTCAAAAATTAATATGGCGCCCTTCGTGCCGACCGATGACGGGAGGTGACGAACAACCGGCTTTTTTCTGCTAGCAACTACTAAATAACTTTAAAGCTCCAATCAATAGTACAAATCAAGAGGAAAACTTTGATGTAACTCATATCAAAATCGTACTTTGGGTTTAGAAGATATTAATTATTAAATGTTGGACTTGAGGGGTTTGAGAGTATCATAGAAGCCGAGGCGAGATTAACGTGTTGGTTCGACAATGCCATCGCCAGGAGGCGCTTATTCAAACAATAAAAGTTTAAGCCGCACTAAAATATTCCGATTAAAACTTAGAACAACAATTGAAAACAGCTGTAATCAGATGTTTTCTTCCGAGGCTTAACAAAATAAACATTTTTATACCTAAACATACACATCAACATTCAAACATAAACAAAATAAGTCATAATTGACAAAAATAAACAATTAGCAAAAAATGGCAGCGCATATAGGCATATATGTTTTTTTTTGAAACAACTACATCAACTAAATATAACAACTAGCAAAATTAAATAATAAGATGAATTATTTACTGCTTTTGTTGAAGTTTAAATATCGCGCCGTATAGAGGGGCGTAGAGGGCGCTCAATGAAATTCCGGTAATCGAGCGACATCACAACTTCATCCAATATCTCTCTTTCACACCTCTTTCGTATTGAGGCGCAAAAATGGTGAGTTGTTTTCAGCAGCCAGGCAATCTTCAATCATCCGATGATATCTAATCAACACTTATCGACTGGATTTTCCACACAATAATGGTTATTTATTTTATTCTCCAGAAAGGGAGATTTTTGTGATAATCGCGTATTTTTGCCAATATTTACGTTTGTGGATTTAGGTTCAAGTGTCACCTAGGGCTAATGTGTTTTTTGGTGCTTCTAGGTGAACGTGCCGAAATTGCGACGCACCTTCTGCAAGAAGTGCAAGGTGCACAAGGCTCACAAAGTCACGCAGTACAAGAAATCCAAGGAAAGGCACGCGTCCCAGGGTAGAAGGCGTTACGACCGTAAACAACAAGGTTTTGGTGGTCAGATCAAACCTATTTTCCGTAAAAAGGTAAGCCACGATTAAAAACTACAAAGAATAAACTCATCGGAATGTTGTTAGATTAAAACTAAAAGCTGTAACTTTTTTTGTAGGCTAAAACTACCAAGAAAATTGTGCTTAGGATGGAATGCTCTGACTGCAAGTTCAGGAAACAGATCCCTCTTAAGAGGTGCAAACATTTTGAACTTGGAGGTGACAAGAAGCGCAAGGGACAAATGATTCAGTTCTAAGTTTGTTAAATAGATAAGAACATCTTTGTATTTATAAAAAATAAATGCAAAAACAATAATTTTATTGCGAATTTATTATGAAAAATATGCGTTTGTGTTGATTTATTCTTCTATAACTGCATTTGGATTGCTGAAGCACAAAGAAACAAAGTTGTGAGTTAATTTTTATGTAATACTCATTCCACTAGTTTACAGGGCTTCAAATTGTTGAAATGGCAGATTTATTTTATTGCAGTGCACATAAATTAGAAAACTGGTGCAAAATTTGGCGGATTTGGTTTCATTAAATACACAGTTTGGAAATGTAGTTATGAAGTACTTATTTAACACTTCATAAACATCAACCTAAGCGTTGCGTTTCATGTCAAGGTTGACAGTACCGTGCAACAAAAAATGATACTTTGTTAATTTACTTTCTAATCAATTAATAACTATTCATTTTTAGTTTCTGCGTTAACGGTAATGACTAAATTGAATTGTGCATCAATTTAAGCAGATATAACGTTTAAGCACAAGTTGTAACTTGAAAATTAAGCTTGTAATTTCTTAAAGCTTGGATGAAATTGAACAATTAATAATATATATAAAATGAAAAGGAAAAAAAAACTTTGTTTACTTACTCCAATATTTGTGGATCAACGCCTTCTGCCTTCATTTTCAGTCTGACTGCTTCAGCAGGCACTCCAAATTGCAACATTTTGAAAACTTTCCTAAATCTTGGATCAGCACTGGCTTTCAGCCCATCACTTTGCAACCCATTGTTGTTTTCTTCAGTATTTACATCCTTCTCATCTTTTTGTTCATTTCCTTGCTCTGCATTCACATTTTCACTTTGATTCTGCTCTGTTTCCACTACTACTGCATCAGTTGTAGTTACTTCAACCTCTGGCAAGTCCACATTGACTTGAGCAGGTTTACTACTGACATCATTCAAGTCAGGAATACTTGATAACTTAAAACATTCATTACAATCACAAAATAGCATTCAGAGTAAATCATTTTATTACCTGTGACTCTAAAATCAACAAAGAAGCTTCAACCTTCTGCAGTTTATACTCAAACTGCATCAATCTAGACTCACATGATGACGCAAAATCATTCAGGAATGATACAGTACTCAACAGGAAATGATTGACAAAGGCAATTGTTCTTTTCTGGTGGATTGGTTGTATCTAACAAAATATCAAGAAATACATTAAGTAATCAGTAAGTTATCCACTTTACATAAATTTTGCAGGTATAGTAGATGAAAATAATGCAAAGTAAACAAATTTTGTTTTAGTTATAGATGAAACAAATGAACAAGTTTCAAAACCAACCTAAAAATGTGAATTATCATCGTCAGCAAGATTAACATACCGAATTGAAGTCGACATTAGGCGCAATCTGGGGTATATCATCAACTTCCATGATAACTGAGTAATATATTCGAGTTAAAGGTGTTTTAAAGGCGTTACATTGTAAGAAAATAGTTTTGGTTGTTTATAATCAGCTGGTTTATTACAGATAGTTTCCGTTTCTTCCGATGAGGGCGCCACATGACGGAGTTACAAGTTGTGCATCCGTTAACAAATGGCCGACATAGTTTATTTCAAGTGTTTTAAAACAGACGAAACTGAAATTAACACATTATTAAAACATAACTACTCCAGGAATCAAATGAAAACTCAAGTGAAAGGTGGATGAATAAATGGTAAGCAAGTAAATATAACAATATATTTATAACTTTCAAATAAATCCGACAATAGTTTTTATCTCATGTTATGTGCATGACTATTGAAATTGAAATCACAGTAATCTTCTAATATCGCCAGTTTGCATAAATTTGTTCTCATTGTACCAAAAAAACATCATATAATTATTATTGCTGCGCTTGATTGAACAGCGTATCAAAAGTATGATTCGCCAGCCGACTTAAACTATCAGTGGTCATAGCGATGTTCTCGTTGAGGTTGAGGTTGTTGGAAAGGTTGTCGCTGAGCGCGTTTGTATCGATATTATACTGTGCCAGCTCGGAAGAGTTGATCAGTTGTTGGAGATCGTTCGAATCAATACTCATCGGCGCTTCTAGAACATTCGGGGCGGCCGCTTGCGGTACACACATTTGTGGGGGGCGCATTATTGGTTGCAAAGGTACATTCCATTGATGCTCCGGTGGTAGAAGTTCATTATGTTGTTGTTGTTGTTGTTGCGGGTAGTATGGTATTGGTATATTTGCTCCAGCGACTGGTCCAGGTGGGTAATGATGACCCTGGTGTCCAGGCGAGTGATGATGGAGCGTATGTTGGACTATGACCGAAATATACTGGTGATACATACGGTTGAGCATCTAAAAATATTCACATAAATATTAGCCGAACATGCAATGGAACTTTCGTACTCACCTAAAGGTTCTTCTTTAATATCTAATTGCCTATTGTTAATGGTATTATAAGATTGTCCTAGAAACAAACGAAACTCAATTAGTAAGTTATTCAAGTCGTCAACAAATCTGGGTTAAAGTTAAAGTTAAAATTCAATCAAGCGCAAGCAGAACTAGAAACTAAACAGGAAACAAACTCAAACTTTCAAACTCGCTTTCAAAATCGCAAAAAATCCAACCTTTTTTTTTCCATAAAGCAGGTGGTTGCTGCTGTAGTGAAAAAACAATGGCAATCAACAAAAAAGAAGCTTACAAACGAATGAGTTTATTTCTGTGAATATTACAAATAGAATCTCAATCAATTCGCTTTCCTCTCAGCATTATAACATTTGTAATAATAGATTTTAAAACATTCCGATATTTTCCGTTTTTTTTTTCATAATGAAAACTTCAACTTCAACACAAACTGGATATTAAATCACAACCATATTATAACATATAACTATATCAATCAACTATTTGTAATAACCGCTGCCCACGCTTAATACTTACAAATCTAAGCAAACGCATAATAAATACTCGTGTAAAATACGACAAAAAAAAAACGTCACAGTCAACAATGAAGTACACAAATAAAATTTACAAATACAAGTAACCCAATAAGTAAGTACCATGTAAAAAGACACCATTGTTCCATTATTAGTGGAAGTAGTACAAATACAAGTTGCACTCGTGCAACTTCAATTCAAACATTTAATTTATAATTAGATTATAGCACCATCGAGAAAAGCACTTTGTTGTAAAAGGTTTAAATGACTAGGTAATTCCTTTCAATTTTAATAACAATATAAAAATTCATATCTTTTCAATATTTATCTTATATAGTGCAAAAAGAACTTCACAGATAAAAATCACTATGAAATTATTTATATTGAGGAAAAAAAAAATGCAAAAATTTGCCACCACCCAAGAATTTCATACAAAAAATACAAGAAAATCCATTTGAAATGGCTGAAATTCAAAATGTAACAATAAAACTAAAATGTTTATAAAGTTGCCAAGTTGTTCATTCATAACTTTCAAAAATTTTGTCTTCGCTTGCCAACTTTATAAATATTTCCCATCACCCAACACCGTTGAATTATTTAAGTTTAAAGCTTTTTAACCGTTCGCCCGCATTCGAGAATAAGTGAAACTTTGCAACTTACTAGTAACCTGCTCGCAAGGGTCTTATTAAATTAATGTTCGGTTCCGAATCTAGTTTGTTTCGTTTGCGCTTTAAACCTAGAATCAAACAGTAAACGGTGAACAAAATTTACACAAGAAAACAGATTCTTTCGAGAGAATTGAAAGAAAACCATCAAAATATTCCCCAAAATTTCAAAAAATTAAAATTTAAAGGTTATGTCTTTGCATGCCCACTTGGAAACACTTTACCACCTTCAACCGGCGCATAATACGCAGACATTTCATCAAATTCACTTTGGGTAGCGTGAGGCGCCATTGCTGTATACAATGCGTAATGTTCAGCTTCAGTCAGGTCTAGATTCATGTTAAAATCATCATCTTCATCACCTCTTGCTCCATCGAAACCCAAACTAACATTGCTTTCCCGTTCGATGTTATCGTTATTATTATTAACAATATTGTTGATATTTAAATCATGCACGTCTTGATGTACATCCTTTCGGGACAAATTCAGGTTGTTTAAGTCATTCTGATCATTACTTGAATCTTTTAAGGGAACACGATAACTTAAGTGTGATTTATTCGATGCGTTACTCGGTGTGCGATTGAGACTCACATTGGAGACTTGCAACTTGTTGGAACTTGCAAAAGAACTCACAGATCCACGTTTTGAAAGTGAATGTTGTGAGGAAATGATAGGATCTTGTTTACGTCCGAATAATTTAGAGAAAAATCCACGTTTCTTAGGATTGGGAAGGAGTTGAAGTATTATATGAGGTGGGTTTGGGTGGTAGGGCCTTTACAGGAGCAAGGTCATTCTGTGACCTTGAAAGCATACTCTGTGATCTTGATAATGAGATTGGAGTGGTTGAAGTTGTACAGAGGACATTCACGGCTTCCTGGCTTGATAAGGGAATAGATTCTACAACTGTACCTACTCCTGGATCATCTATATCAGTTTCTATGACTTTTCGGGATCTTTTGGGTGGTAAAGGAGGTAAAACTTCTATGATTTCCTCCTGGGGTTTGGAAACCATTGGTTCTACATCCACCTGAATGATTTGTTGTTGTTTTTGATGCACGTCTATGATTGGTGCATTGGGATTATCAATAACATCCTCGTATTTGTCATTCAGGTCAATGTCAAGTTCAACAAGCTGCATGGGGTTCTTAAACGCCATTTGTAGACTACTATAAGTCTTGGCATCATCAAAGATTCCCTGTTCAAGAAGGGGATCACCCAAAGGTGGTGCAAGTTTAGTTTGGGCATCGATTTCGGCAATTCGCTTCTGGTTCTCGGTGTAGATTTCGTCAAGTTCTACAACTTCACGAATTACATCTTCCTCTGTGCAAATTTCATCATGATTTTGTGGTTGTTCAATGGGTTCGTAATTATGGGTCATTTCTACGTCTACATTTGTATCAGTTACGTCCCGAGTATTAATTGTTATTGTAGCGGGCAGACAACTTCTATAATCTCTACTTTGTCATTTGTGGGAGGTTTTGGCTCAACCGGTGGGGATTTTTGTCGCGGAGACATTTTGGACTTTTTAATCTCGCCGTATTCGGGCTCTGGCGACGCCGGCACGTTGGTTTTCTCAACGCTTGCGACTAGTTTCTCGAGATTCGAGAGTTGTCGCTTGCGGATCGCCTCGGCGTCGTGGGACAGAGCCGAATTGAACAACTCGTACGCGTGCGCCTTCTTGTAGTTACGACGCGTGGACCAAAAAGAGGGCCTACCTGAATCAAGGGGTAACATTTCGAAAGGCAATGCTTCGAGCAATTGCATCCGATGAATTCTTCTCCAGCTGGATGTTCACACGTACAGGTTCGATGATATCCAGGGTTTTGTACCGGGGTGCGCGGAACCATATTGCTGTTTGTTTGTGTACTTGGGAGGGTTGGAAGTCGCCTTTGCCTTCCCACGTGATTTGACCGTCGATTTCTTCGAAAAATCGAATTTCAATATCTTCTTTTGTCACCTAGAATATTATAACCAATAAAATTTAGGTTAATAGATGTTGGCCCAAGGTTATGTTACTTTTCATATGTATGATGTCTTTCTTGCCACCATCGACGATACTACTGCAATCGGACAGAGCAACTATCGTCAAGTCGCACATTGCTTTCTTATCGTAAATTGGATCACTCACAACCGGCGCGAGTGGTACCGAAAATTTATTGTCGCCCTTGGCGGGGTTGGTGATATATACTTGGAAGCATAACCTCACGGCGTTTAGGTCTATCGAAGTTGGTTGATTTTTATGATCAAATCCATCTAAAAATCAAATAAAACAATAAATTAACTTTGTAAAACCAAAATTTTACAAATTTTAAACTTACTATTAAATGGGTCCACTTTATATTTGTGTCGTGCGTCTAAATTATCAGCAATATCTCTCTTTTTTTGACACACTGAATACCCAAATTCGAGAAGGTCATGGACATAGTATCCGGTGGTATTTGCAATGTACAAACTCCACCTTTACATCCTTCACGACCAACAAGATTGTGTGGATGTGGTCGATGGAGTGCGTCCTTTGTAACACAGCTAACCAAGACCACAGCTGGTCCCTATACCCCACAAACTTGTATTGACGGATACGATTTCACTTCGCTGGTGCTGTTTGCTCCCGGTATGGATCCGGCTGATCGGCCTTCGCATTGATAACGAAAACGCAGTGCTTTGGAAGCGGGTTGCTCCACGATGCGCACGAAGGGTTTATTCATTTCGGCGGTGGCGCGGCGTTTGACGCCGGTGTTCAACTGGTCAGAACGTGGTGACTGAGGCGATGGCGATTCTAACTCAGTCGCAATTGCGGCAACTGCGAATAAAATATTTTATTGAGATGCCTTTCCACTGAGTTTTCATTGAGCAAACAAAAATGGTCATTTGAATGGAGGCTTAAACTGCCAACATTCCTGCGATGAAAAATTGGTGTGGAAATTTGTTTACATGTGTTGCGTGCGGAATTTTAATGTTGCTAAGG